AAGGGAGCAATATCTTTTTAGATTATGTACCCTTTTGTAATTAGAACAGTGTTATTTATATACGATATACATTTTTCAGTTTTAGTACTTCAGCATAAACATGTTTGTTTCAGTTAGTTCCCATGGCAACATTTATAATTTTAATTAAAATGTTTTAAGTTTAACATTTTTCATTTAATCTGTATTCAGCTTTATTTCAATTAGCCAACAAAAAGGAGGATTTTTAATAGTTTTAGTTAACAATGCTGACCCAAGTAGTATTTTATGAATACTACTCGAAAACAAAGACTCTTATTTATTACAACATTAAACTTATTTAACACTAAATGAAACGGGTAAAACTATTTTAAAAAAGACAGGACTCTGAATGCCAATATCAAGACCAATATCATGCTAAAACTATTCCAAGAGTTGTCATGATTGAAATTCTGTTAAATTATGTTAATTGATTTGCAGTCCGAATTGAACTGGATCCTGATTGGTGACCTCTGATATTGTAGTTCAGTCCCACATGAATGTACAGGAGAACACACCGTTCTGAAGTTGGATTCCCAGTGGCTCACAGCTGCCATTCTGTTTAAATTGCCCTCAGAGATTCTGCATAGTTTAAATTAATACTTAATGAATGTCACCTAACATATGAAGCATTGTCATTCCTCACCGTTCTAAGCACTGCCTTCATGGCTTGACAGACATGATTAATGCCTGCTACAGTCACGCTGAAACGGCACAGATAAAGCAGCCGTCGGTTTTCCTCCCCGTCTGAGCTCCGAAAAGCATCTCTGAATTAGAACCGCGCTTTGAATTTCAGCGAGGGGAAAGGAAATCGCTTGTGCCCTCAATTAAGAACTAAAAGAGTTCTTAAGGAGCCATTTACAAAATCTCTATGAAGTTTTTAATGGATGCTTTAAAGGAAAAGATGTGTTTTTGCTGCCCTCAATTATGAATAGGTGACAAACACTGAAACTGAATGTGACCATGATGACTACATTAGCTTTGATGTCCTCTGTGAATGACCTATGATCTACTGTCACTGATCCTCACAAATGTCAGCTTACGTAAATGCCTGCCAGAGAGGGTTTATTTATATCCAGATCAATACTGTGTTATAGACAACCTCAAGTGGGATTGAGACTTGTGAAGCAAAGGTCTTTCGAACTTGTGTCTTGTTGACTATGACCGGAGGACTGCAAACCGAAATCTCATCCCATTCAGACTTTGGCGACATTCAGACCTTAATGGAGAATTCCCTTTAAATTCCAATTCAATTCCTGAATTTAAATTGACAAGCAGGAAGCAGATTTGCAATTCAAATTAGAATGTTATAATGTAAAATTCATACTGCTTTAATGAAAAATTCATCATGACAAACTGTTATTTAAAAAAAAATATATATAAAAGAAACCTTTCCCTAAGCTACAAATCCTTAATTTCACCAAATAATATCATTCAAAAGTCATGCCAGTTCACCGCTATTAAGTAGCTATTTTGTTATGTAGACAAGTGTAAAGACCATTTCTAATGTTTGTATCTGTCAGTCAGGTTTGTGCAGGTTGTAGTTAAGTGTAGTTAATTTACTAAGCTTCCATACATGAACAACGACCAACAAACACCGAGGGAAAACACAGGGCTTAAAGGATTAGTTCACTTTAAAAAAAACTTTTGCTGATTATTTACTCACCCCCATGTCATCCAAGATGTCCACGGTGTTCTTTCTTCAGTCGAAAATAAATGAAAGGGATAGTTCACTTTGAAATTAATTTTTAATATGTTTTAGTTTACCTCAAGGGCATCCAAGATCTAGGTGTCTTTGTTTCCACAGTATTTTCAATTTTGATATTTTTAGGTCAAGCGTCAGTCATAATGCGGGTATATGGGGTTTGCCTCAAAGAGCATGGACAGAGAAATCAAAATTAAACATGATTTAATGACTCGTAAATGTAGTACACATTGATGGCCTAAGACACGAAATGAGCGGTTTGTGTGAGAAAACGTACAGTATTTATATCGTTTTTACCTCTTGTAATCACAATCACGTCCAAGTACTCTGAGGGGATAGATAGATAGATAGATAGATAGATAGATAGATAGATAGATAGATAGATAGATAGATAGATAGATAGATAGATAGATAGATAGATAGATAGATAGATAGATAGATAGATAGATTATTGATTAACTTTTGTATGTGAAATTTTAAATTTAGCAAATTTCTACTTGTGTCAAGTTCTTGTGGGATGTGAATCAATTCATTTCAAAGTTACTCTCATGAACTGAAAAGAAGCTGAATCTTCACTTCTCAACTCTGCACAGCCTTGTTATTCCTTTCTATTATCTGCCTCGTTTCAACTCCAACTCCCAGAAGAACAGTGTGGTGGTATCAGGAGCGTTTTATCTGCTTCCTGACACAAAGAGCCTTTTTTATATATGCTGGGGAACAACTGCAGTGTGCAGCTCTGCTAGTCATGTTATGGACTGTTAATCTCTTTTGAACACAGTATTACCACCTGCTGCCTAGCCTGTGTACTCAGTTCCACAGTTTGACCACTGGAATAAACTGCATCTGCGTCTATCCATTAAAACATCTTCAAATAGGCCTGAATGTGAACGATTTCTCAACTCCGCTCAATTATTGGGTTGCAGCTGGTGCTGTTGGTGAAGGCTGTTTAAATCAATGACCACTGAAGCGCTATCCACCACACTTATTATTCACTCGTTTAGATGCCGAACTGTTTTTTTTCCGTCTTGGCACAATCCAGTAAGCTTTCTGAATGTCTTCATTTCCATTTGTGTGACAGAACATCTTTGACAGTGATGTCTTATCTGGCAGTGGCAGAGCTGCTGCATTTCAGACCTAAGCACTGATGTTTATTTAATCTCGGACTGGACTATAATGCTCTTTCCTTGCATTTCCAGCTGTTCTTCTCTTCATTATAGCAGCAGTCTGGACAGACACACTACAAAGGATTATGGGAAGAGGCTACAGGAAGCAAAATACCAAAAACATGATCCAAGCAATAACAAAGAAATGGATCTTTGTATCAGCAGGACGTTTCTTTGTGCTTGTGTGTTAATGGAGTGAGTGGGCGGCCAAATGAGTTTTCGCTCTCTATTTAAGTAGCAAGTTTCAGAAGCATTAGAGCATTAGACAAAAGAAGACATTATTACATTTGGTCAATTAATTTGTGATAACGATTGACTGGCTATACAATAAAGAGATAGTGCTGTCAATTCTGTCATTGTTGCATCTAATTACAAACCTGTACGACTTTATTCTGTGAAACATAAAGAGAAAACATTATTTAACAAGATATTTTGAAGAATGTTTCAACTGTTTTTGGTCATACAATTGAAGACATTCTTAAATATTGTAATATTATCCATTATATACTCTATAAAAAAGATAGTTTCCAAAATAGTTGTGTATTCACTGTAAAACAAGTATTGTTGGTTTAACTTAAAAGAAGTTGCCATTGAGTTCATTGTAATTAAAATCTGAACCACATTAATTATCCAAGCTGATTTGCCGAATGAAAAAAAGTTGAAAATCATTGTGTTCTACAGAAGATGGAAAGTCACAAGTAAATCCAGCCTCTAGTTCATAAACGCCAGGAGAACTGGCCCCCAACTGAGCCTGGTTTCTCCCAAGGTTTTTTTTTTCCTCCATTGGGTTACTTGATGAAGTTTTTCGGTTCCCTGCCACTGTTGCCTTTGGCTTACTCAGTTGGGGACATACAAATTAATTAACCAATCAGTAATACCATTGATCAGCTCTACCAAACGTGGATGTCTTTCCACTAAGAAACGAACATTGTTCTATGTTTTGATTGATACTGTGAAGCTGCTTTGATGCAATCTATACTATGAAAAGCGCTATATAAATATACTTGATTTGACTTGACTTGACTCGATAGTGCTTTTCTCTGATGATACACATTAAGAGAACTTAGATTTTCAGCTGGGACTCGTCTATGGATGGTTGTTGCTATGGTTACCACCCTTCATGAGACACTCATCGTGAGTCTTTTTGCTTCTGCATTGACCCATCAAATTTCATAATTTTGCCAACACTCACAGCTTGCCGTTTTGTTGACCCGTGTGACCTGAGACAAGTCATTTTAGGAAGTCAATAAATTGATTTTTAAACCCTGCTCCAAACACATAAGCATTTTCCCCATAATGTGTTAGCCTATATGCTTTTGAGGTGCACAGATAAAAATGTAATATTCCACTGAGAAAATGTGAACTAGCTCAAATAAGTCAAATATATAGACCATTTTGCAAGATGTAAACAACACTGGTCCAGAAGCACTTCCTGTTTCAGTTCTTTAACACTACATAAAAGCTGGGATAAAATACAGCCAACAGAACATGTAAAACTGAATCAAAAAGTTAAACATCTTTAAGATGTTTTCTTTGCATGTGAAATAAAGAAAACAGTTACAAACTGAAACAGGAAGTGTTTCTGGACCAGTTTACGTCTTGCAAAATGGTCTTGTTTATAAAAAACTGTGTGAGCTTGACATGGTTGTATTGAGGGTTTAAGGATTTTTCATATTTAATAACTTAGCAATGTATTTCCTGATCACCTGATGTTTGTTTTTTTTTACTTTTTATTTTTTATTTTTTTATTCATTTAGCTGACGCTTTTATCCAAAGCGACTTACAATTGCTATATATGTCAGAGGTTGCACGCCTCTGGAGCAACTAGGGGTTAAGTGTCTTGCTCAGGGACACATTGGTGTCTCACATTCGAACCTGGGTCTCTCACACCAAAGGCATGTGTCTTATCCACTGCGCCATCATCACCACCTCATAATACATAATACATTTGTATTATGTAATCCCATGAATAATGAATATATGAGTATGTGGATGTGAGTGACGTTATTAAGAGAGTTATATGTTCTCCTGGTCTTCATTTCCTGTCAGCTCACTGTCTTGCCTGTCCTTGGCAAGTTTTCACCAACCAATAACACATCCGTTCTTTCTCTTTCCAGTCTAGCGTCGGGGAGAAGTTAAAACGGTTGCAGTCGGAGCTCCTTCTCCAATTCCAGCACTTCAAGTTCACGGTGAGGTTTTGCAAAGCCAAACCATTTAATTAAATGATAATTACAAAAGCATTTTGCTATGGGGGAAGTCATCTATATGTTTGAGAGAGAATTTATTTGATCTGATTAAGAGAAAAACACAAATAAATTGAAACTATGGTTGCAGCTGTACCTTTCTGGCAAACAACAGGTGAAAACGATGTTGCTAAAAAAGAACATTGCACCCAGCCCCTAAATTGCACTCCTTACGGCCACCTTTTACTTCTGTTTACAACAATCTCAAACGAAGGAAAACCAATTGAGAATTATAATGGAGTCGACCAAACTTGAGGCGCTTTGCCTTTCAAACAAAGCGTAAACACAAAAACAGCTACACCAGCAGATTGAATCAGGAGAAGGGAGATTTAGTTGTAATGCCGGTTTAGTGTTTGCTACGTGTCATTTTCCCTGACCAATCACACCAGGGGTGTCATCCTCACTGATGTTAATAAGTGTTATTTAGAACCAACGAGAACAAGCAAGTAAACATCTATAACACTATAAACACACATTGAAAAACATCACCCTTTTGCTCACTTGCTCACTACCACACATGCAATATAATAGAGTAACATCTACATCCAGCATTTTAAGACCATTTACAAATTCTGTTAAAATGCATTGCAATGGTGCAGACAACAACTTTATTTCGATAGTCACTTTAGACGTTCTACTAATTATAAGTAACTTTTCAACTACATGTCAACTAACTCTCATTAGAGTTTTAGTATATTATAGTAGACTGCCAGTAGACTGTTGTTAGGTGTTAGGGTTCGGGTTAGGAGAATAAGTTTACTTGTAGTCGCCAAGTTACTTATAGTCAGTTGAATGTCTGTTGGGGGACCAACAAAATAAAGTGTTGGCAGATATTAAGCTGACAGTCTACTAATCCTCTAATGACCAGTTAGTTGACATGTAGTTGAAAAGTTACTTAGTTAGTAGAATGTCTAAAGTGGACTATCGAAATAAAGTGTTACCCAATAAAGTTTTGGATATACAGGCCTGTGAGAAGATTTCAGAGTATTCAGAAATGAATTGCAGAGTCAGTTCTCAAAAATTGTGAGAGTGGTCAGAAAGTTTCTCAATATTTTTTAAAAGAACAAAGTCGTACAGTAGCATCAAGGAAGTCCCAAACAAACACAGGATAATGTGCAGACGCTCCTGATGAGGCTGACAGCAAGAATGTCTGAGGCATCACAAAAGATCTTAGCAGAACTGATGTTCAGGGTAGGACGAATCGGAAGAACTCTTCTTCCAGAAAGAGACAGGTTGAGCTCCTGTCAAAGGCTGGGCAGAGTGCGCTGACAGAACCGTGTGTCTCCCTCCTGCTGGCTACAAAAGATGGGCAAAGAAGATTAGCTTTGCAGGTTTAGTTCAAAGTAGAGGTGATCCAGAAACTGCTCAAATGAGTTACCTCGTTCCATATACGGAACATGCATTATTCATTTACATGCCTGTACGCCTAACTTACGTGAGTTGCGTTTTGTTTGACGCATGCAGGCCTAATTAATGTTTTTCCGGTTCAATGGGACAGGCTGCCTGATTTAGGCTATAATGAAGAATTTAGGTTATCCTACAGTCTGTTTACACTATTTATTGGCCTGCCTACTTTAATGTGGGTTAGTATTTTTTTGTTTTGTTTCAAGATTTCATATATTTTGAGTTAAATTGCTCTCATGTACATATCAGTAACGTGCTCTCGAGTTGTTGGAAATATTGCCATGCAAATCCTCTCTGGATGTCTTAAGTGGTTGGAAACATACTACAAAAATAGTGTCGCATCATCACCAGTTTATTGACGCTGTTCTTCAAACGGATCCCCTCAAAACACTGTGGTAGAGTTTCTGCTCTCCTATACAAAGCTCCTGAATATTTAATGAGGTAAGAACTGAGGCACTCACGATTGGTTGTCTGTCTTTCCCGAATGGTAAATAAGCCAGGTAAGTAATATTTTCTTGGGAAACGCAGCAACCACCCGAGTATCAAATTCAATGCAATTTATCAATGTAATAAAACCAAGCAATTAGGACAAACAGAATGGTTTATTAATATTTTTTGATGAGTTGAAAACAAGCAATTCATCTGTTTGTTCCTACACAAGTTATAATATTAGATTTAGAATCACTGCATATTACACCATCTTTATATCCCAAATGTCCCATTAACTGGATAACTAACCTTGAGCAATAATTAAGCATGTCTGAAATGGCCTACTCTCCATATTTCTCGGTTCTTGATTACAGTCATTAGAGAACAGGGATGAAATTGCGTTCCCTCTGTCAATAGTGCATAAATTTCCATCCCTTACATTGTCCTCCCACTCATGTGACTAAAGTTGTTTAATGAGTGGGATATATGATCTTGTTTTGAATTTTATTTTTACTTAAGTTAATCAATGGATGAACTCAAGTAAAAAAAAAAAAAAGATTATATTTCAAAGTCAAAAATTTCACATAGGTGTTAAGATAATCACTTCCCTACCCCTCATTATAGATAATTACACTGTAAAAAAATAACCGTGATTTTAACGGTAAAATACTGTAAAAATGCTACAGTGCAAAACTGTTTGGTTAATTGGTTAACAGAAAGTTTCCGTGCTATACACGATAAATAGCTGTGATATAATTTTACAGTAAAATACCGTTAAATTTACAGTATTTGAAAATGAAAAAGAACAAATCATTGTATAATTTACAGTGAAAACGCGTAAATTGACATTCCCACAATTCCCTGTGTGACACTTCACATTTAATGAGTTTTTGTTGAAATAACTATGGTTCCTCATAGTTTTATTGTTTTTTTTCTTCTAATCAGTTATGTACATTAGGGCTTTATGTTACATTGAATGTTGTTAAATTAATGTTTATTGCATTTTTTTAATTTCATGTGTGTTACCATGATGGTGTTTAATGTTTGTGAATGTGTGAATGACACTGTGCAGCTTCTTAATATAAGTATTACTTCATATAATTATTCACTTGTGATGAGCCATGATTGCTCATGTAACTCACATCACTGCTGTGATGATTGTTGGTTGTCAGTGCATTACAATGGTCTAAAACGGATATCAAAGCGTCAATAGGTTGGAAAATCAATATTGTATCAGAAAATAAAAAAAAGTTTATTACTGTAAATTTTAAGTTAAGTCTGTAAAACCATAAACGTTCCTACCGTATTTTTAACAGTAAAGTTCTGGCAACCACAGCTGCCGTAAAAATTAAAAATTTTACCGTAAAAAATTACGGTTATATTTTTTTACAGTGTATATAAATAATTATAGACATTTAAAAGTAAAGGATCAAAACAATTAGTATATCATAGTCCAAAAAGGGAGTAGGGGGAGCGCGGGGTAAGTTGGCACATGGGTAAGTTGTCAAACTGTTCATAACTCAAACACTAGGCTCTATCTCAAAACTCAAATAGCCACTTTGTGTGACTTCTTCTTCTGCAGGCATAGAGGTCAGAACCAGTAGGAATTGGAAGGCCAAGAGGCAGTAGATCAAGCAGTGTCACGGCTGCGACATAGTGAGCTGGTGGGGCCAGTGGCATCTGGACGGGCAGGACTCGCTTTAACAAGGCCCAGGGGAAGGAAAGAGGCAGCTGATTCAAGAGGAAGGCCGAGCTGGGGTATAAGAAGTCCACTGCAGCAGGCCAGTAGGGATGAAGCAGCATGGACTCATGGGAGCATGGGAGCAGGCGGCAGACCGGAAGAAATCCTGGACAGAATTGTTGAAGTCAGAGCCACACTGGATTAAATTCCTGGTTTAGTCTATGGGGCCTGGCAGAGACACCACTGTGCCCAGTCTGTGGAGGAGGTTCATTGGAGCACATCATAAGCTGCTGCTCAAAAGCACTGGGAGAGGGGCGCTACCGTTGTCACCACGACCAAATAATGAAGGTCTTTGCAGAGGTTATCAGGACTGGGATCGCCTGCAGTAAATACCAGCAACTAGCAAGACAGAACATCGCCTTTGTGAAAGCTGGGGAGAACCCACACCAGCACCTGAGGCAATCAGGGCAACAGCACAGGACTGACAGCTGAAGGTTGACCTTGGGAAACAGCTCAAATTCCCAGAAAACATTGCAGTGACCACACTCAGGCCAGACACTGTCTTAGTGTCAGAAATAACAAGGCAAGTGGTCCTGCTGGAGTTGACTGTTCCCTGGCAGGACTGGATGGAGGAGGCTTTTGAGAAGAAGAGGGCCAAATACGAGGAGCTGGCAGGCTGAAGCAAGGGGTGGAGGATCTGATGAAATCCCATCGAGCTCAGGTGCAAAGGATTTGTTGGCCAGTCACTGATTAGGGCCCTCAAGATGCTTGGAGTGGAGGGACTGGACATCAGGAAAGCTGTCAAGAACATCATGGATGCCGCGGAAAAGGCATCAAGATGGCTGATGATCCAACAAGCGGGGTGATCCATGGATCATACAAGGTACTCAGACTGATGAACCCTGGCTGGGTGTCACACTGACTCACATATGTGCCCAAGACTTCCTTCTTCCATTTGGCATGACATTTACAGATGTATGGTGCTCAGTAAATGTTAGACAGTGTGAAAAGTGTGATAACACACCCCGCTCTCCCCCCTACTGCTTCTTGTATTGCAGATAGCAGAATAGGGGTGCCACACATATTCTGTAAAACAGGTTGCATCATTTGTGGTTCAGGTCTTTTGTATGTGCTTCGTTAAAGGTTCTCGATCCTGGGTGTTGACGTTCGGAATATTTTCAAACAAATCGGAGGCTAGCTAGACCCTCCCTCCTCCGCATCTCATCTCCTCCCCCTCCCTTCCGTCCTTCCTGAAATAATTGTGAACGTGCATGTCTAACTAATTATATCATTGTGTGGGTTTGGCGAACATAAGCGTCAATTTAGAAGAAAAAAAAACAATTTAACGTTACTCACCTGTCCAGCAAAAACAGAGCAACCTGAATGTCGGACTGGAAGCCCTTCTGCCGCCGGAGTTCTCGCCATCGTTCAAAAGCTTTGCTACCGATGTAAATTCGGAACTTCGCACATTCTTTATCCGACTCCTTCTTCTTTTTAATTTGTTCCTCAGAACGACGTGTCTTTGGTCGTGTTTCGGCCATTTTTCAAACTTCCCTCTTATGCTTCTCTCTCCTTCAAACACACCCCCTTCATGTGCACGCGCACTAACCCCCCAGACCCACCCTCAAATACTTCTTGCCAGTGATTGGCTGGAACACTGTTTGTTAGGTTTCGTGGTCCGGGTGAGACATGATTGTTTTTGTTGCCGTTTTTGGAGCCTGTGATGTCTACAGAGACCGCGTTTTTTTACAGTGTGTTTAGGGAACAGGCAGCTAGCCGATAGTGAGGAGACGTTTGATGTATGTGACAAAAAATGTTTTGGCCCCACATCGCTTAGAGAACCTTTAAATAGCTGTTTTTAAGATACCTTCAAATGAGTAAGCAAAGATGATGTTCTTCTTACTAACATTTAGACATTTAAAATGAATAAATGGCAACAATTAAAAGAACTAGATACTTACCTTAAAGTCCATGGATATCGGCGTCGGTTTGTAGCTTACTGCTGTTAACACTTTTCAACTACAAGCAGATAAAATGAGACCTGTTTCCTTGTTTGTTCATGTGATGTTTGTCAGTAAGCCCAGAGCATAGTGGAAGTTATGTAATTCTGCTGCATCTTCCTTTACCTTCCCTGTTTGTTTTCTGTTTTCAGAAAAGTCAAAGCTTGACAAATGAGAGTCTAGAAGTATATCTATGATGAATATTCATATTGGCCATATTACACTTGTTCACTATTTGAATAATATCTGAAAAGTGTTTTGTGACACTGCAGCATATGATAATTCAGTCTTCAAAGTGATTTTTGCTTCATGGCTGTGATTTTTGGTTTGCCAGTGACTAATTTGTGCCGGAAACTTCATCCACATGTTTGACTCCTTGTGTTGTAAGCTAAAATTCCAAATGATTCAGATTCTTTCCTCAGCTCTTTTTCAATGATTTTTGGGATGATTTTTATAGACCATGTAAAGATGCACAACATGTAGGCACCCTATCTATAGGTTATCGGCCAAGAGATTTTTTATTGGATATTTAATTTTGTCATGAAACTAATTTTAATATGGGCTATATATTTAACTGTTATCACAACCAACAAGAAAATTATTATGACTTGAATTTTAAAATCAGAGCATCTCTAAACATATAGCTGGTGTATAAAACAGCTTTTTTCTTTAGTCTCAGTGGCGATGTCCCTGTGGGTTTAAATGAGCATTAACTGTGATAGTTAACGCCACTATGGCATATAGTCTGCAAATGTTAGGCTAAATATGGATTAAGGGAATGGGCAGGAACCTATTACTCATTAAGTCATGTCAGGAAATGTTGCTGAGCGGCACCACATCTCCTGACACAAAAAGGCAAAACACAGGGAGCCCCTCTCCATCTGTGAGCAGTGCTGTAACACTTCTAAAATAAAATGTGGGAAAGCCATTAGAACAACATCTCTGGGGTAATTTATCTTTTTTTTCTGTCACATATAACGTTTGGATGGTTTTTGGCAGCTCTTGTACTTCCATCTCTTTTCCATGATCTTTTTGGCTGTCGAGAGCATCGCTGCCCTCTTTTTAGTTCTCACTTCTCCACGGACAGATTTTCTGAGGGTTGGTGAAGAAGATGTGTCATGCTGTCAGCAGATGTTCCATTTCCTGTTATGATTCCACTATTTCTGACTTTCTATCATTGGCTTGACGTGAGGGACAGAGAGCTGACTCGGCTCCAGGAACTGTCTGCCAGAGGACCCGCTGAACTTCTTAAGCTGAAATTTCAGTCTGGTTTCAGGTGGCTTGTGCTTTGAGAATGCTTAAATCGCATACGATTAGCATGTCGGCCAAACTGTTTCATGTATTTCTAATACTTGACCTGCAGCCTTAAATAGTTGAAAAATTTGATCATTTTTCAGATGTTTTTGGTCGCTAGCGGCTAGGCATTTGGATGTAGCTAGTGATGACAATCAGAGATCATCTCAATCAGTGCTAAATAGCACAATTATTTTCCTGTGTTCTGATTTTAATATTATTTTTTGTGATATCATATTCTGTAGATATTGTTATAACTTATGATGCTTCCAACATTTTTGAGGGCTCTTGCATAAAGAGATACAAGAAAAGTAAAAAAAAAAATAAAAAATAAGGAGAGCAAAAGATGGAATAAAATGCAAACCTAAGTTGAGAAAAGAACTGAATTGCCTGAGGAAAAGCCTTAGTAAACAGTTATTTATTCACTGTCTGCAGTTTGAAAAATTCTCTCTTAAAGTCTCCCAGCAGTCAATAATTCTATCCCTTAAAACTCATCTTTGATCTTCCTTTGAAAAAAAATTTACTTTAAATTTATTAAAATAGAATTTTATGAATAATTGCTTGCTGGGCAGCCATTAAATGGATGCTTTGTTACATCATTTTATCATTTTAATGATACATCATTTTATCATTTTACCCGAGTCTTTCTGGTAGAACTTATGATGTGTTGCTAATGTGCACAAACCATGTTCCTGTTCACTATCTCAGCATTAGACAGCTGCCTTTTAACAATCAGTATCCTTAAAAACGCTTTGAACTTCATAGAAAATTAGTGGAGAAAGGCATAGTAGTTCTTCATAACATTGTAACATCATAAATTCACCCGCTATTGCTAAATCGAACCGATTTTTCAGATCAACAATAAAATATACCGGATAGCCTCTCGTGAGACTCCACTGCTTCAGAGAAGTTAATGATATGCTAAAGCCCGCCCCTTCATGACGTGATTGGTTACAAGGTCGTTTGTGATGTCAGAAACACCAGTGATTTCAAAACGCGTCTTTAGATCACAGTAGATTTAAAGAGAAACTTCTTAGGAATGGTGTTGACTTATGTATTTGCACATGGTTTGTCTTAAAGCATATTAAAAACACCACATAGACATATAAACAACATTAAAACCTTGATTTTCACCACAGGGGGACTTTAAGTAAAGAGAAATACCTCTATTTTCAGTGGCATTGGCATTCTACTGCTCTTATCTAAGGCTGTTTTTTTTTTTACTAGTCAAGACTGGACGAAACACAATGCAAGGCTAGCAGGACTCCTTCATGTCGACTTTTTTTTTTTCTTGTTTGGGCGTTTAGAGCTCAACTGGGGTTTATAAGTGAGTGGTGTTCTGCATGTGTGGCACTTTCTTGCTGTAGAAATGCTTTCTCAGACACTTTCTCGATTATGATTCCTTATATTTCACCTGAAGGAGAAATGCACACACATCAGCTTTAGACAGGCTCTGAAATCCTGTTAGTCAACTGAGCATTTATGCTCTGTAGAGAATATAGAGCACATAGTAAGTGTACAAAGCGTAAAAGTGGAGGGGCCAATAGGTTAAAAACTACTGGTGACTAAGGGAGCTCCATCCGTCCCTATTTCCGTCTCGCGGGCATGTAAACAGAAATCCACATAGGCTGAAAAAAGGAACACCGAGAATAATTTTTTAGTTTTAACATGAGAACATTTGAAAAATAGCACGAGTTGCTAAATAAAATGTATAGATGAAGGTTCTTGCTGCTGTAAATACTTGGGATGCACAATATAGTGCTACCAAATTGGTTATCAGAGTTTTTTTTCTTGTATTAAAGAGGGTACTGTATGTTTTAGACCACATTAATTTATTAAACTTGCTCCTCTAAAACACCCAAAATTGTCTCAATACTAGATCTGATGATTGAGCAAACCATGGGAGATGTTCAACTTTCCTATCATGTTCATCATTCTGTCACAATAGTATTTCTATTTAGCTTAAATAGGCTAATTTTAATTTCAGTTTTCAACTTTTTTTTTTTTTCAGCAAGTTTATTAGTTGTTGGCCATTGCATAAAATAATTATGGGCTGATCAGATCAGAATTTTAATATTAACACATTCCTAAAGACAAGGCTAATCTGAATGTGGTAATGTTATCTTTCATGCCGTGAATGAAGTAAACATCCATAGCATCCATAATCTTGCATGAGCCAACGTGGCTGGTTTGGCGACACATGCTACATTCAGCAGTTCAGGTTCACTGTATAGCAAGAGATTTGTATTTTCTAGATGTGGATGATGCCACAAGTTTTCATTTTAAAATGTAATCTTTTTTATGTCTTCTCTTTGAGATGAAAGTGTGCCTGCTGTTTGGCCCTGCACTAAAGAGATATATTGGTTAAAATCAAACAGAACATGGTAATGACCTTCACATCATTCTAGCTTCATTTTTTACCTTTGAATATTTTGTAATGGGAGCTTCCTTTGTAGTTGAACTTGCTGTTTAAACACGACTGTGATGTTGGTCACATTAGGGAATGTAAATGGCAGCATTTGCAAGTCAGATCTGAACATTTGAATTTTGCATGTTAATGAAGAGAGGTGTTTAAGAGTTCTCAACAGTCATTTTGGAGGAGAAACAGCCATCATAATCAAAAAGGTAATGACAGAGAATAGGTTAGCAGGACAATTATGCTTCAAAAGTCTTTGACTGAACTGTTTTGCCTAGACAGTCTCATCCCAAGTCGTCATATAACTGACGTCTTGGGACGTTTTGACCACACGTCAACGTCCGCCTTTTTAGGGTACCCTTAAACGTCGGTTAGTTGACGATCCCGGGCCGTCATACAACTGACGCTTTACCTTTAACGTCGGTTAGGTGACGCGGTAGGTTTAGGGGTAGGTTTAGGTCT